GCCAAACTCACCACCGGGTGTGGTCGGTTTGTAGCCCCATTGGCAGGCGGGTTGGGAGTTGGGGCGTTGGACCTAATATATATAGTGCGGGAGGGCAGGTATGGTATTTTGGTGCTGGGGACAGGTCGGGAAGGGGGTTGTTGCCTGAGGATGTGTTTCTGTTCTTATGTTCCTCGGTTACAATAGCCAGCCATGATCATGAATTATAGTATCGAGCATCCAGCACGATGATGTTGATTAGATTAGCGAGGGTATTTACGACAGATGTCTACACATAGGGTAATCAACTCATTTTGCTGTTAATACCAACGCGACCGCAGTACCGCCCAGCCAAGACTTCAAGTCCACCCAGGAGTTCGAGGAACTTCGCGGTATCTGCGAACAAGATAAGCCCCGGGAGAGGGGGCGGCGTATGGCGTTTATTCGACTCGTCTAGAATCCAGCCTCTACACTCCAAGTGCAAGGATGAGCAAGCGGGAGAGAGGGACCATGCCCCGGGCAAGTATTGCGATATTACGGGACCCAAGAGCCTTCGGCGCTGGGGATGAGTTGGTTCTTCTGTTTACCTGACTACCCTCCTTCTCGACTTTCCTTGCCGCTTGACTCTTGTTAAACTTTTTTTTACTTCGAGGACCTAGTCTTGTGTAACGGCGAATGATGAACAAGGTGAGGCGAAACCATGTAGACACTGGAGACAGGAAAGGACTCTCATTAACCTTGTAGGTAGATGAGGTAAAGGAAGTCGCTGGCGTGTAATAACTGCCCCTGGGAAGCGAGGAAAGAGGGTAAAATCGGATGGAATAAACAAGACATCACATGCAATATACAGGGCAGCTTGACAGCTACAAAGGTTTTATACACAGGTCCTTTTATGACGTCGGTGCTTCCCTGCCTACGAGCTAAACACCCACCCCACGGTCCGTCATGCATGAAAGCCGCCTACCAACCCGACGTAGACCGCGACTCAATATTCTTGATGCCGTACTTGCGCATCACAATCTGCTTCAGCCTCGCGCGCCAGCGCCGCAGCGCCACGCGGCAGTGCCAAGCCATCTCCAGGCCATGGCGCTGCTCAATGATGCGCAGAAACCACAGCAACCGCATTGTCCGACCGGGTCGTTCCTCCCACAGGTCCTGAGTGATGATCTGGTAGAGGTCTTGAATAACGGCTTCCGGGACACCGCCCGGACCGCGGATCTCACGGAGAAAGGCCAAGGACCGTGATACATGGCGGAAAGCGGCGCGGTTGGTCAGGTGTGGTGCTTCTGTGAAGGCGTGGGCCATCTTCTCGACGACGGCTGCGCGACGCTGGCCAAAGGTGCCGCGGTGGTGGCGCAGCTGTGCGTGGAGGGGGGGACGCTCCAGTTTGCCGATGTCGAGGACGCGCCAGATTTCCTTTGGTGAAAGCTTGGCGTCGTGGATCATGGTCTCGGCGTACTTGTCAAACACGCCGGGGAACCACTGCGGCTGTGTCCGGCGATGGCCTGGGTCGGATTTGAGGTCCTCTGACCACAAGTCGTGGAGCTGGACGGCGATATTGTGGTCGTCGGCGGTGAAGGCGAGGTCCTCAAGCATACGCACGGGGAGCATGCCGGTACTCGTGTCAAACTGCAGGGACCGAAGAACGTAATCTTTCCGCCGAATCCTTGTCAGGAACTTCCAAGCACTGTAATAAAGCCCCGTTTTTGTTTCCTCCTCCCCGCGTGCGAAGACCGCTAAGAAGAGCGACGCCAGCGCGGCCTCGTCGCGTGTACCGCAGTGGCGCCGGTACGACTTGTAAACTTCCTTCGGTGCTCTAAGGTACCCACGACTTCCCCACTGCGTCAGAAGCAGGGAGGAAACCTCCACAACTGACAAGGGCGGTAGATGCAGCGACCCTTCTGATAGCGAGGCAGCAAAGTCGAAAAAAAAGTCTTGGTTCACATCAGGGTTGCGGGCGAGAATGTAAAGCCACCCGTACCGCAGCATTCGACCATCAGTCACTCCGTTGAGGATTTCTTTCAGCACCTCGGTATAAGCCATAGAGCAAAACTCCTTTGTTGCTTCCTGACTAGCGTCTTGCAACACGTCTGAGATGGTCAGAGCTTGACGCAGGGACGCCGGTAATGCCCTCACTTCTTGTTGTTTAGCGTACATCCCCCCTAGAATTGCCATATCCGTCAGCCGCCCGATCTCGCTGCCCTCCAAAGGGGATGTTGAGTGGTTCCAGGCCGAGAAAAAGGAGGCGAGAACGGACAGAAGCCTGCCAGAAACATGAGATCGATAGGCAATAGGCATGGTAGCTAAAGCCTTGGCGAAAAGGTTGCAAACGGTGTCATTGACCGGGAGTTTGGAGACTTGGCTAAAAAAGGCGTTCCAGAAACGGGTGTCAAGCGACGAGGCCGGAAAGACCTTGGAGGCTGACAATCCGCTAATTATAGCCCTGCAAAACGACAACGACCAGCGGCGGCCTCTAGGCGAGCCCGGCAGCCGCGACTCTAGTGTCCTCCATATCTCGTTGGACAGCGCCAAGACCTCCCCTGGTGAGATGTCGCCCAGGATAATACGCTGTCTCATTTGGCCGCATATCTTGTTGACTTCAAACAGAAAACGTCGGTTGTGGACGCCGTCGGCCGCCCGCCGGAAACCATCCATGAAAGCCGCTTGAGGATCGGTCGGTGCCACGAGAGGAGCCGGATCAGAGGCGGCCTGATCACTCCCCGCCGCGTTCGCCATCGCTACCATTGATAACCCATCCAACTCTTGAGAAGATTCTCGAAGCCACTGGGGCAGCAAAGCAGCAAGCGCGGCAGTGGAATCGGCCAGGCGAGACGGGTTACTCCTTCGAGCCTCAGTCGGGGTTGGGGGTTTCCAGGTCCAACGTGTTAAGTTCAGAGGCATCAGGAATGCCCAGGGTGGTGGTGTCGGCGGGCCGTGCCAGTCGTTGGCGACTGCCATGCGCCGTCGCCCGAGCCGGCGCTGGGCCTCGAGAGGGCCCGGTACTTTGCTGGCTTTCCGAGTGAAGGTCGTCGACACGCGGCAGAACCGGTCGAACGCGTGGGCGAGTAAACCATCGGTGATCCATATCGAGTCTTTGGGTAGGGTAATATGGCGATGGAGAGCGCGTCGACAGTGCGCTGATGGTGAATTCATTGTCGAAGTACAAAGGAAGGAAGAGGGCCGTCAAGGGGCGCATGGAAAGGTCGTTCGCTAAGTGGTGTGAATCGGGGCCAACGGACGATTGAGAGACGAGGCTGAGGGGTTGATGCCAGCTCCATCCAACGAAATCAAGCATTGATTGGGTCGGACCGTGGATGGAGCGGCGTGCCAGGCAAACCGGAGCCGAGCCGCGGCAGGTCCACCGGTACCTCTAGCGACTTGTCCTCGTCTCGCTGAAGCCGACCGGCGGAGGGGGCGCTGCTGGCCGAGCTGGTTTCGATTTGAATCTGATATCAAGGCTCAATCCGAGACTTTTGTGGAATTGGGGAAAGCAGCTCGAGCTCTATCCAAGTGGGGCATGTTGTGGCTGATGCTGCCCTCACCTCAGCACCTCAGCCACTCCAATCTCGGCGAGAAGAACCTTGGTCCCTTGCATATGTGGCGCAGAACCACGCAAGTTCCAATGCACCCCACTTGCTGTTGAATCACACATTGCCCGAAGCTCTCCCGTGCCAGCCAGAAGTAGGTCTCGACCTGATGGTTGAGAGCACCAAACTCTGTTCCCTCGACTAACTCCCCAAGCACCCTCGTGGCACTAACCGTCGGACTCGCTTTAGCTGCTAGAGATAGGAGGCTAAGCATATGGAGAACATAGCCTTTAAGCGCGCCTGCAATTCGCCAACTGACCACGAGCTTCCGACGATAGGTCACATTTTGTTTGAGGAAAAATGCTTCAGGAATGACAACTTTTAAGGGCTTTTATACGAGATCAAGGCAGAATCGGGAGGAGGGATTATGTAACTAGCATTGTGGCCCTTTAGTTATCATGAACAAGGCTTAACGTTAATCGATAACAACAACAACAACAACAACAACTGGCGAAACTGCTGGAGCATCTCAGAACATTTCTCGAGATGCGCAACAGGTTCCCAACTATCATGCTCGTACCCACACCCTTCCCACTTTATCAGGCACTCCACCCGCCTTCCTCGTCATCGTGAATCCAGAATCTCCTCAACCTGAAAATACTCGTCTTCTTGAACCCCCTCGGCTGTGGAGGCAACTCTTGAAGGGAGGGCGCGCCCCGTCGAGGATGTCCTCTCTGCTGGTGACTTGCTCTGCCAGGTTTCAGGTCCACGATGAATGAATGTCCAGCAGCTACACTCCCGATATCCTCCAGGTAATCTTGTATTACAAAACGTCCACGGCAGCGCCTGGCGTCCTCTCAAACAGCTCTTGTTCCACGTACGCCTTTGCCGCATCGGCGTTCGTCTCCCATTTGAGCCAGTTATACGCCTTCGGAAAATTCCTATACCGGTCAAGGTATCCCGAACAGAAAGCTTCCAGGTCTTGAGGATAACTGTCGAATCGTTTGCCCCGTCGCAGTAATAGTCCAGCAAATGCTGTAGCTCGTCTAGCATAAGGCTTCTTAGTGTATAGGCGTCAATTTGATCTAAGGCCGGGTGATACATGGTCCACGAGCGGCTAAAGTCGACGAGCTTCCCGTTTAGGTAGTTACCACCGTGTGTATCCTTCACGAATATGCCTAACGAGTGGAGGGCTTGTAGGTCCAACCATAAGCCCGCGTCCTGCGCAGGGTCGGGAGCCTTGCTGGCGACGAGGTCCTTAACGATAGCCCGGACAGGCAGTCCGCGATGCTGCTCCTGCCACCCCCAGAAATCGCCATCCATAGTAGTAGCGTTAGCGGAGGGGGGCGGCGTAGACCGACCTTCAACCTTCTGGGCCAAGTCGATTTCCTGCTGGGGGTTGAAAAGAAGATAGCCGAGGGCCCTAACGGCCAGATCCTCGCGCTTTTCCTGCTTGAGTCGGCCATAGGCACGGCACTCACAATTGAACGGGTCAAAGTAGTCGACATAGAGCTGCGGGCTAGCGAGCCGCCTTGTGAGGTCACCGCCCTGGTTCCTACGGAGAAAGTCCCAGTGCCAGAAGTAAAACTAGGAAGAAGACTGGGAGTTAGAGTTAGAGCATGATTCTGATTTGACCGGACCGGGGCTGAACTAGTATATTATATATTCACACGTACCACCTTGAGGACAAAGGGCCCAGCTTTGTTGATTTTGACCTTCCAGACCAGAGAGTCTACGTCGTTCTCGCGACCGAGAAACTGGATGAACTCAATATCATCGGCGTAAGCAGTCCGGGTAAAGGGGGCCAGTTTGGGACCCGGGACGCAAGGAAGCGGTACCGGCGGACTGGGAGGGCGAGTTTGGTAGAAAACGGACGAAGCAATGATTTCTTTTTAATTGTCTTTTTTGGGGGGGGGGGTTGGATTGGCAGTGTGGTGTAGCGGTGTATCTCAAGTTGAAGAACTGCAACAGGGAGAAGTCGCGCTTTCTCAGAAACTCGAATGAGTCAATGACTAAACTCAAAGGCTGAGAATTTGAGAGCTTCTGCAATGGAATGTCGACGTGCTAGAGATAAACAAAGGCAAGACCATCGGCAGGCCCACGTAATTGGCTTGGGGTTTTCTTTTTGCACGCGACCACAGTAGTTATCTTCCGAGCCAACGTATTCTCTCTGACAGTTACAATGAGTACTCCAAATGGCAGATGGCCCGAACTCCGAGGTTGATCGTAGCGGACATGTCTGAGGGACACTCCCACCTAGGCCCGGCCGACCTACATCTCTAATTGCTAGACACGGCCGAGTTCTAGTTCCATCTGGAGCAGTTTTTGGTGCTGCGCCGCCCGCTCGAGCCTTGGGGCAGGCCGTACCGTTTAAGTCCCACAGACTCCGACAGGTACATTTGATGTGGGGCATATGTATTTGTCGGGGGTGCACTGAGTGGCCTTCCAAAAATGGCGGGTCAAGACTGCCATTTTAGTTCCCGTGGCCCGAAACTGCCTCTCGTTCGCTGCTTGAGCATCAACTTCCGCAACCATGGAGCACTCATTCCCCCCTCTCCAAAATGACCTGATCCTGCGGGTCGCGCGAGGTGAGTAATCGATGTGTTCTCATCTCATGAATTTGTCTTCACTCACTTGGTTTTGTGAACTATAAGTTTTAATTTATTGTTAATTTTTACATTTCCTTTCTTTCTCATCGTGGTCATATCTATTTATATTATTATTTAACACAACCCCTCTTTCTTCTTCTTGTTTACTATTCCTCTCGTGGCTTATTCTGGACGAATAGAATGAAATACTGACATGAGACCCCAGGCGAGAAAGTCGAACGGCCGCCCATTTGGGTGATGCGGCAGGGTGAGTTGCCCGGGCTTTCCGAAAGCTGTCGTTCCCCTAGATCAATGGGATGAGCCCTCGGGTGCTAATATTTGCAGCATAGCCGGCCGGTATCTCCCCGAATACCATGAAGCCAAAGGAGGCCGTGACTTTTTCGAATGTTGTCGGGACCCGGAGGTTGCTTCCACCCTAACCCTGCAACCCATCGAACGCTTCGCTGGGCTGCTTGATGCCTCCATCATCTTCTCCGACATCCTAGTAATCCCACAGGCTATGGGAATGGTGGTTGAGATGGTCGACAAGAAGGGACCTCACTTCCCGAACCCCCTGCAGAACCCGGATGACGGACAGTACGCCGAGGTGCTGAAGCGTGATGTCGACGTCGCACGTGAACTCGACTACGTCTACAAGGCCATCACCTTGACTAGGAAGAAGTTGCAGGGGAGGGTGCCATTGTTTGGCTTTTGTGGTGCTCCTTGGACTCTGTTCTGTTACATGGTGGAAGGCGGCGGTTCCAAGATTTTCAAGGAGACCAAGACCTGGATTTACAAGTATCCCGAGGAGACTAAGGCGCTTTTGCAGAAGATCTCTGAGCTTTGCGTTGAGTATCTTGCTCTCCAGGTCAAGGCTGGAGCTCAGGTACTGAAATAATTTTGCTTCCCTCCTATTTGAACCCATGCTGATATCCCTTGCAGCTGATCCAAGTGTTCGACTCATGGGCGGGCGAGCTGTCGCCATCATCATTCAAGAAGTTCTCACAGCCTTACCTTGAATACATCGCCAAGAACTTGCCTCTCAGACTCAAGGAGATGGGACTCGAGCCCGTCCCGATGGTTGTTTTCCCCAAGGGAGCATGGTACGCTCTCGATGCTGCCTGTGATATGGGCTATGATATTGTTGGCCTCGACTGGCTGCACGACCCGGCGGAGGCTGTTAAGACTGTCGGTGACCGCCCCGTGGTCCTCCAGGGTAATGCGGACCCGGGCGTTCTGTACGGTTCGCATGCCGCCATCACAGAGCTTGTGCAAGAAATGGTCAAGGGGTTCGATTGGGCGAACCGGAAGAAGGGTTGGATTGTCAACCTCGGACATGGTGAGTCGAAATTGAGTAATGCGTCAAGCTATCATTCTGAATACACCGTTAACCTGGTCCCAGGAATTACGCCCTTCGTTAACCCGGACGATCTGAAATTCTTCTTTCAAGAGATCCACCGTCTGACCAGGACTGGTACCCAATAGTACCGTCGATTCTAAGACGTGTATATATCCACGGACTCGGTGCTGAGTCCATTCCTACAAAATATGCACGAGTTTTGCGATATGTCTCATACTGCGTCCCCAACAGTTGTCACGTCGACCAATGCCCTAGGAAACATTAGCCAAGATGCCGCATCTCTCTAACCATTTCACTCTTACCATGACAGTGCCCAGGTATTCTTGCCCCCAATCTTTCGGCAAAGCCCCTGGCTTTGATAGTTCCCGGTGAACACATCAGCAGTCCCCCAGCCATCATCGCTGAAGTCTGCAATGTGTTCCACCATCAATTTGGAAACCAAAAGCCTGGCAAGACCTAGTTGGCGATACGCTTCCTAAGAGCTTATCAGTAGCCTGGTCACATCTCATAGTCACTGGGTAACGGTACCTCGACGTGAACCATCAAAGATCCATCAAGTCCTGCGTGTGAGAGTCAAGCGTCAGTTACCCATAAGGGCTGAATTTAGCTTTCACCCCTGGAGATTCGTACCCAGAAACGCCCACGCGGCAGGTGCCTCGTTCTCTAGACGTACAACCATGCCTGGCAACTTCAGCATCGTCTCCCTAGTCACACCGCCACAGTGTTAGTAAGTACCCTGATCCGGTACTCGAGAATGTAAAAGAAGGGAAAATAGAGTGAGAGAAGGGAAGAAGGTAGGTCGTTACACTCGTCGCTTGATATTCGTCCGCGACCGCGCAACGTCAATGTCACTTGGCCACACACGATCCCACCGCATCCCCTCGGGTAATCCGTGATTATCCTTAGCCACCGTCGGTATGTCCTCCACACGGAAAAGCCACTTCCCGCAGACCTCCCAGTCCCGCTCCGCGATAATACCGGACGGTTTCAACAACCGCACCCCACGCGCCAGCAGGCCATGGCGCAGAACCTCATGAACGGTGCCAGCCAGAACGGGCGCAGGTGAAGGTGCGGATGTAGCATTGGCAGGAGAAGAACCGCCAGCACCCCCAGCAGCGATCGTCCTAATCCTCCGAAACAGTGCCAGCGCCAGATCCAGCGCCTCCTCCTCCAGCGCAGACCTCACCCTCCCTTCACCCCCTTCACTCCCTGGCTTGGCCCAACTGTACAGCTCATCACTACTGTCACGATCCCCACCAGCAGCATCCGGCTCTAGCGACGAGTACACCCACACCTGCGTCTCCGGCCCCTGTGAGAGGTCGACATACGCCGCGGCGAAGTGTCCGGTCTCAACCCCATCCCCATTCCCATCATGATCATCTCCACTGGCACTTCCATCAACCCCGGGGTGTCGACCGAGGCGTGCGTACAGGACATGAGTCTCGTCGGTTCTACCCCCCTTGAATTTGTCCGCGAACTGTAGACGGCGGAGGAGGGGGAGGGAGTAAGGGAGGTGAGAGGTGAGGCGGGCTAGAAGGGCGGGTGACGGGGTGGGGGTGTCTTGGAGGAGAATGGTGGTGTTGGGCCGGTTGGTGTTGTCCACCTGGATGGTGGTGGTGTTGTTGATTGCGGTCATTTTCGTTGTGTTTTCTGGGCTACGTGTTGTTATTGGCACATGGAAGAGGATGGAGAGAGGTTTATTTCTGTTTATTTGAAGTAAATTTGGTATTGATATATACCCCAAATCATCAAATGTCAACGAAGTGTTAGGTAATGGCGGCTATTAATAGCTTGTGACATAGCTACCTCGTACTTGCTCGAGACGGGACTTTCTGGGATGGAGTTACAGTAGGAACGTGTGAGTCATGAAAGCGGTGGACGACGGATGCCCCGGTTTTTGTCGGGGTTGGTCAGAAGATCGAGATGGGGGGCCTGGTCGTTGTGAAGAATCCCACCGACCTCAGCTTGTTTACTGTTTTGGTTCTTTCTTTAGAGAGGGGAAAGCTGTTCGGTTGGGTCGCTCTGCTTACACGTTATTTAGTACGCATCAGTACACCGATGTCTGGTGGTAACCAATCTTGGTGTACAGCCCATACTTTCCCCAATACGAATGTACAAATCCCCGTTTCCCCTAAATAACATACCTAAAATAACATATTCTGGATTATCATATACTTTTCAACGCCATTACCAGGGTATGAAGATTCCAGCCGCTGTAGAGAACCTTCCACCAACCAACAAAGGGGAAGAACAACCCAAAGAAAAGGAGAGAACCAAAAAAAAAAAGCAAAACAACCCCTCACACACCGTAAACACACCGTGAACCACCCACCCAATAACCATCGAGAGATAAACCCAAAACAGTATGATAGCGTCTGCAGGAACGCCTCCTGATAACCCCCCTCCCCAATCGGCCGGCCCATCTAAATAAAACCACCACATTTCCTCACTTCTTCCCAAACAACAAATTCCTCCCCTTCTCCGCCCACCCAACCGTCTCCTCCGGCCTTGCTGCTGGCACAGCTACATCCCCATCACTATCTTCCCCCCGGACCCGTTCACCACCCAACGGACCACCCTCCAAAGGCGACACAGCCTTGTCTTCCCCCGCTAACCCGCGCTCTTCTCCTACCCGTGGGCTTCCCTGTTCCTTGCCAGTATCACTGAGCGGGGGACTTCCCGGTTGTTGTTTTCGCTTGTCGGAGGTCGAAGTCGCCGTGCCTGGCTGGGTGCTGCTGCTCTGTTCGTCGCCAGCCTTGACCACGTTGCCGGTGCCGCCGCGACCGATGTGCTGTGCGCCGTGGCTTTGACGGCGGACGACTCTGGAAGGGTTGCATTTCGCGGGTTAGCAACTGTATGAGTTGGCGCAGGGAGGCCGTTGATTTGTTTCCAAAACTAGGACTTACGGCTCAACATCCTGACGACGACGTTTCTCGTCCGCGTCGAGGTTGGCGGCAAAGTTGCCTGTCCCACCACGACCGGTGGTCACCATGGAGGTCTTGAGGGTCGGGGTTTTGAGGTCTGCAGGCTGGAGCGGCGGAGTCTTGGAGGCGTCAACGATGTTGCCGGCGCCGCCACGGCCGGAGGATTGGAGATGTGACGACATTGTTTCGGCTTCTCCGCTGTACGTTTTTTTGCGGGATTGCGGAGGTATTCGCTGGTTTGGAGGGAGACAAACGACAATCCCCACGCACAAGTCGGCAGTTGGCGTTTTCCAAAGCTTTTCGTTTCGGTGGCAAAGAAGTTGAGACGCACGGATGTTGGATATTACAGCGTTGGGGATTTTTATTATTTGCACAGATTCAGTGAAGAAAACCTGGGGCCCGAGGTGGGTTATATCTTCCTTGTAAAAAAAACTTGGGGAAGAAGGCGTGCAACATCCCAGGGCGGCGCAGGGAAGAAGGTTTTCCAACTTTCTTCATCCTCGTCTTCGGTGTGCTGCTACCGACCTACGAGAAAATCTCAACATACAACGTGGGACAAGGTCAAGTGCGACACACCCCATGGCCCATGCTTCAAAGCCTCTTTCTCGACGGTCCGGCCATGCTCTAGATCGAGTCCAACTGATCACAAGGAACACAGATTTTTTTTCTTCCCTAGACTATGGGATTTTTGTGCCGTTTGGGAATTGGGGAAAACAGGGGGAGACGATTGCGTTCTCGTCTTGGCCTGACATCACCTGAACACTAACACCTGGAACCCACTGTGCCCCTCATTCTCCCCTCAGTGCCCGGAGCTTCGGCAATTTTGCCCTTTACCCCTGCAGGTCAGCTCTTGAATTCGAAGTTCCATACGAACCTTGATGGTCACTTCATGGCCACTTTGAATGAGGAAAAAATCTTCAATAGTAGGCCGCTGTTTGTTCCTCCCGGCGAGCCGGCCCAAACAAATCAAGCTTTCTGGATGGAGATAAGACAGAGATGACCATCCAAACACAGATTTTCGAAACAACCCTGTCTGTCTGCTTGCGATATAACCTTGAGCTCCACCAACTGCCACGCCGAAGGCGAGAAGCAAGGCCCGGTTCAGTCTTCCACGACTCTCTGGCCTGTTCACGACATAGGGTGTAAAAGGGAACCTTGAAAACAGACTTAAAACTAAAATCCATTTCGAACTCCGTTCTCCTTATTTTTGGGGTAAGGATCTAAGGGTGTAGGAACGAATCTACCTGCTCCTGGGCCGAGTTGCGCCACCAATAGCAGCAACCCTCAGTACATCGTATACCTCCCAGACACGCGTTATAGATCACCAATTGGGAGTAGCCTCAACCAGTTAGGCCGGGTTGATGTTGCACGTCGTCGGTGCAACGAACGATTGGGACTAAAAAGTTCGGACATATATCCGTAATGCCAGCCAGGTACTGTACCTCTCTGTTCCGAGCCACTTAATGGGCTTGGGTATACTGTGACCGGATACCGAAGTGGCTATCATTGGCATATTTCTCCCACAAGAGGACTCGGATCCTAATCTATCTAGCTGGTAGCGCAAACTGTGTACGCAAATGTACCTATCCACCGACCCGTCTACTCTGGTTCTGGTATCTGTGACGTTGAAGAATGGGACCCTTCCGTAAGACAGCGAAGATGAAAGAACCATGTCAAACTGACTGAACAAAAGAAAAAAAGAGAAAAAAGGGGAAACCGTTGATGGACGAGTTGGCCCGCCTACTCTGCTTGTGACCTCCGGACCCCTCCGCTCAGATGGAAAAGTATGGTTCCCGACTGAACAACCCTCTGTCGTGGCACGGCCTAAAAGAGAAACAAGTGGTTCAAAATAAAACAAGATCCTGTCCCCATCGGAGCGTATATTGCGGCGTCCATCCGCCTGCATGATAACCCATCATTTATCCTCCCAATATTCACCGAGCCGAAAGCTGCGCTTCAACCGGGCATGTGAAGCTACAGGCCACCCACCTCCGTCCGACAGGTGCGTGCCGAGAGAAACATAGTTAGGGTCTGAGATAGTTGCCCGGTCGTGGCCGTTTGTGACCAGTAGGGGTTCCATTTTGGCTGCGATCGAGGAAGAAATTCAATCGTAGTCGTCGTCGTCTTGGCCCCCGGCCTTGTTCGGGTTATCCTTGCGAATGGGAATCTTGATACCTTGACTCGCAAAGCATTTGCTTAGGGCGGTGCTCTCGCAAACCCCCGGGAATTTCTTGGCGGAGTAAACCTGGAACACATCGCTAAAGACCGACGCGAGAACCGGAGCCTTTCCAAGGTTGATGGAGCCGTTACCGAGCTGGCCAGGGGCACCGACGTTCACGAATGAGAAGCGGAGCCTAGAGATTGAAGGTCAGTTGACAGGTAAACACATAAACTCTCAGGCGGGACGGTTTACCTGAAACACCCCTCCGTGCGGACACTCAGATCTTGGAGGATGAACCAGATCCCGATTTTGTCTTGGGGGTCTTGTAGGCGGAAAGCGCTCGCAGCCAAGCTTCCAATGAGGTTGCGAGTGAACATACCCGATGGGGGGTTGCCGCTCATGGACATGCGCTGGGGCATGTTGCCGAGCTGGGGTTCATAGACTCTCGCGGGTCCGTACGGCGAGGCAACCATCTGGGCCAAACCTTGTAGGTCGGCCTGGGGATAGTATTGGTTTGGTGGTTGGTACCCGCCTCCATTGGGTGAGACAAAGCCTACTCATCCATTTTTGTCAGAAAGCACTTGGGGGCCATGATCCGTGGGCCGTAAGGCGCGGTGATGCAGAACTTACCTTGACCGTATGGTTGTTGCATACCGTAGGGACTGACTTGGCCAGGGGGCGGGTAGCCCATCTGTTGCGCATACCCCATATCCCGGCTAGACGGTAAGATGTGTGAGAAGGCGGGCGTGTTTTGCTCTATCTGAGCGTACGAGGCGGGAGACGTAGATGATATCGATGGGGTTGCCGTCGTGTGCCGGACAAGGTTGACTTCCTTCAATGCATCCTCAGACCAGAGATCCACATTGAGGACATACATGGTATGCTCGATCTCACTGTTGGGAAACACACTTTCGGTTAACTGCGGCCCGGTTACTGGCAAAATAGGGACGGTTGACAACTCACTTGCAGTCAATCTCTTTCCCACTTTTCGCGTCTTTGACTACCAACCGTACGCATGGTGGTGGGGTTATGGGCCGGCGATCCTGTTCAGCTGCTGTCAGCTACCGTCCCGCGTAGTTTACTCGGGCTGAGGCCAAAAGCACAAGCATACCTTGTCGCCGAAACCACACATCCGCGCACGTTGTGGTTGTTGCACAACGTCAAGTCTACCGGAACCCCGATCAGCATACACATAAATGGCAGGTGGGCAAGCTGTTCTGGCACATGCCGCTCCCCAAGCAAAGATATCTCTTACGAATATACTCGGTCTTGGCCATCCTCGGACGAGTATGGCTTAAGATTCAGCTCTTGCTGCCGCTTTTGCTCCGCGGTGAGCGGCACGCGTTCCTGCGGCTGCGAGGACGACGCTTGGGCAGCGTCACCTGGCTGCTGGCCGGGTTGCAGCGCTGCGGAACCACCCATTGGGACACCCTCCTGGTACTGGGCACCTGGTGGCGGCATCGACGGGAGTTGCTGCATCTGATGTGCAGGATACTGGGCGTGCGGGTGCATATCGGCCGGTAACGGCTGCCCCTGGCTCGGGGGGTACGGCGGTTGGTGCATTGTACCGAAAGGATTCGCGTCGTCGGCACCGCGTCAAGCGCGGATTCAAAACTGGCCGTCGACTGCCTCTGATGGGACGTTGTTGGCGTTGCTGCGGCGGTACAGCGCAGAGTTCCGGTCAGTGGCCAGGGCCAAATATAAAAACGAACGATCGGTAGTCAAGGTTGAGTGGGCAGCGTGTGCTCGTTTCCGCAGCGAGAGGCGTGGGGAAGGTATCTACGGGGAAAATGGTCCGTCGGCGGAGTGCAATTGAATTCGATGTCGCGAAGACAGGATGACGGGCGATGAAGAAGAGAGAACTATTAGTGTAGAGTGGGCAACAGCTGCTTCGTTTCCGTGAAGAAGTAAGAAAGGATTCCCAAGCTTAGAACCGAGATAAGAGGAAGGGCCGGCCGCAATCGCTTATGTATCGGCGAGCTCGGTAAGTGGGAGTTGAAACTCCTCCTCGAAGGTCCGTGTTCTCGAGCCCGGTCCAAATCGCAAATGTACCGGGCTGAACTGCAGGTGCGGGCCCTGGTCGTGGTGGGGAGTGCTGATGATGGTCGACTTGCTCTTTCATTCCGGGGACGCGGGCACAGCTTGGCCGCCCGCCTTCGCGTGTTTTCCTGACCCACAGCGCCATGGGGGGGACAGTGAACCAAATGCCTCTCCAACACTGTGACAGGGGTAGGTTGACCCCTCCAATGCCACACCCCCAGCTTGGGTTCAGTTTCGGACGGTACGGAGGCCAAAATAATATGTCCATGCTTCATCCACAGACCTTGCACTACATTCCACTCTATACTAACTAACGTTAAAGTTACCAAAGAACATTCCAAACCGTGAACTTGTTGTTCCCGCTCGGCCCGGCAGGAGGCGACATGTCGTTTCAATAAATCATGTCAATCGTCACGACAGACGTTTGAAAGTTCCCAGGTTGAGATCAAGCTTCCCACCTCGCGGCCACCTTAACTTTGACAGGACTGTCCGAGGTGATTTCTGCCAAGCCCCCCCTCCACAACCAGGAAACCTAGAGAAGAGCCGTCGCCTGGGCCCTGAAAGTACCACACGGCCCGACGCGGCAGGAGCAATTTGAGGAGCACGACGGGCTCGGTCTCCAACGGTCAGCCTCAGGTTCCAAAGTAACTTCAAACTGTTACCCTGCCCGGGGCTGGAAAAGTACAGAACAGGAACATAGGGCACGGGCCATCCACCAAAATAACTACTACGTTGCGTTCCCATCTCCCTTCCAAAGTTGATACCAATATTTCTTAATGACGGGCAGTTTGATCCAGACGTTGCTAGCTATCTTGGATTTCGGAGATTCAGGACCCGGAATCCCGCCGCAAAGACATGATAGTGCAGCGTGCGCTTGAGCTTGAGCTTGAGCTTGAACCGCCACCTTCAGAGGAGAGCCGAGTTGAATAGTTATCAGGAACTCTCAAATCCGCCCGCCCAATGGGGGGACTGGTGCGACCGGACAGCGCTATCCCGACAGTCCAGCCTCATGAATACACTCCTCTACATAGTTCGCATTGTCAAGGGACGTCAGATCCCCATCATGAAGCGCTGTCAGTCTTCCCTTCCCTTTCTAAAACTAAGCCCTCGAGGAACGCACCGTCACCCCCCACCATCGATCAAGCTCCCGTCCCACACCGGTACAGCGACACGACACCCACTGCCAAGTTTCATTGGCCACGCAACACGGCAGGTGCGGCTCGACAAGCAAGTGTGGCGTTCCCACCTGGACGGTCAGCCAGTTAGCAGGTGGTGTGGTCAGATATTGCAATTTAGTTCCCGCTGCCGTCGCTCGCAGGTGGCATGTGCTCCTTCATGGCAGCTTTGCCTCGCCGCGTCTAGATGCCATCTGCCAAGGCGCGGAATGGATAACCCCCGTTTGAGACGTGTCCGCATCGCCTCAACGCTTTTCCGGCCCCGAGGAAAAGAACCAAGGTACAAACAGCTAGTTTTCGAGAGACTTGAGCTGAGTATCAGATGGATCGGGAAAGGCTCGGAACCGATACATACGCGCTAGGTAGCTCTAAGTATGAGCATGTTTATTAGAAGCCTGCGGGGAGCTCAGCGACACATCGCGACATGATCCCTGCAAGTTAAGATACCGCAGTATAACTCAAGGCGGACAAGAGTTGACAACCAAGCCCCGCTCCTGAGCCAGCGACCGAACCGGCAGGCTTTTCCCCTCGAACACATATCAAAAGTCCGAGTCAATTGGCTCGCCACCTCGCAGAGTCCCTTTGGCGGGGTTAGGGACGCTCGAAGGACGTGCTGAACCCTGCTCTTTAATATTATGATGTCGGTTTTCTCATCATGGGGGGGTACGCAAGTCGCGTCTTGATGTCCAGAAATAGCACCGCGGAGAGCCGCGTGACCCTTTGGTCATTCTCACGGCAGCTTTGCCGAGCGGGCTGGAAGGAAGGCCCTCCTCCCGTCGCACGTTTTCCCAATGCCTTTACTATCGAGCGAATGCGCGGGGCGGGTTGGGCGATAGAGGTGAAAGGCGAGCGGCATCTTTTGAAGCAGGTACTAGTTGTGTGCATGCACAGTTATCTGCTCGCCAGGTAAGGGGCGTGCCGTGACCACAGCACGATACCTGGGAAGGTCCAGATTCCCGGGACTCCCATCACAAATCGTGATCACTCAATCGGGTGATGAAAGCCGTCTCAGCCCAAGCCACTTTGCGGAGGAAACCATGACGGCAGGGACGGGATCTTGGGATGAATAATGTTATGCCGAATCGGCGGGACGCCTTTTGTCAAGCTCCCAGCTTCTGTGGGCCAGGTTCCTGTCAGAGCTCATCAGTGCGGGAAACAGCTCCCATCGTGGATGGTCACCGTGCAGTGTGTACTGTACCTAAGAAGCATGGGTGCTGGTTGTGTCGGTCCCGCACTTGCCCGCCTAGGTCAGGTCAGTACCTAAAGTCCGTGCGCCGGCGCCAGGCCGGGCTGGAAGGCAGCGCCTGCCGCCCGCCAAGATGGTTTTTTTTGGGCGATCCCCCAAACCAGCCAGAGCACAGGCCTAAACGGCCAAAAAGGTGAGTGTCAAATGAGAGAAGAACCCCAAAACGGGAACTGTCCGTCTGAACTTTCTTTGGATCTCCAGACGGGACGACGTCAAGTCTTGTCTGTGCGCGTCTTTTGCCAGCTCTTGCTACACCCCCTGCAGCTTCGACTCGGTTTCCACAGGGCTTCCATGGCTCTCCGATGCGCGAGGGCATCATGCAAATTATCTCTGCATCAATCTCGCTGCCCACAGGGTCAGCGACCCTGCTAGAAAATGGCAGTCTGAAACGCCGATGGGAACCTCCCTGCCCCCCGCCCCCGGCCACCTAATATCCCCCACCTTGATGATTCCGACTTCCGGTGAAGGCAGAACGAGGATCGAAAGAGAAAAAATGGACCGGTGAACATAGTTAACGAGACCGAGCCTCCGACGGCAAAGAAAAAGAAAAAGAAAAGGGGAAAAAAAGCCTCTAACTAGACAACCATCGAGGATGCCCAGCTGCGCGCCCGAGCCCCCGAGACCAACCCTCGAAAAAGAAAAAATTGGCACCCACGAGCCGCGCTAAGCGGACAAGATGGGTCTCGTTGTGCTTTCATCGATCGAACTCAACCGGCACCGATCTTTCGGTTTTCCAACCCCCCCTCACTGCAAAGGTTCAACTACATAGTCATGTAGCGAAAGGAGCCGGGTCCCCCGTTAAAACCGGCGAATAACTTCATGAAATCGTTCACTTAGACTCTCCTTCGGAAACATACCCCCTTTAAGCGCGCATTGATGGGCCCGGTAAGAAATGCCACATCGCCTTCCATGGCTCATTCTTGGCGTTGCGTTCAGGGAAGGATTCTAGACGTTTTGAAAGGTCCTTGCAAGCAGGTCATCAGGGGCTTTCTCCCCTTGGAAGTTTATGCAACATCCGTGGGACCGCCGGTCTTCCTTGAGGATTGTGGCCGTCACTCGCCTCAACCGCCGGCATTTCGATGAGTTGTTTGCCCAAAGGGGACAATGCTATCAATCCATGACGACTACCCGAATCGACCTTGAACGTTACCTGGCCGGGCCAGCAAACGAACAGCCCTGGCACCCCCTTACCTTCGAGATTTGGATCCCGGTTCGGAGCATTGAGCACAAGAGTTCCGCCTGTGGCCTCCCGTGGTCTCCTCTCAGATCTCGATGATCCTTGCAGACGATTTGGGTACGCCAACACGCCGCTGCTGCAATCGATATGTGACAAAATATTGCGGTGCGAGCCAAGACCATACTACATAGTATACACACTAGGCATCTCCTATCTGTACCTGGGTACCTCTGTTAGGTCATTTTTCTGTGCCAGGGGTCAAGGCTCTCTCAGATTTCCGGTGGTCATCAACTGATTAGACCTCATCAGGCCCGTCAAAGTGTTCCCCGGTCCTCAAACCCACCCTGGGCATCCAGATTCGAGAGGCACCGTCTCATTGACGGTCCGTCCCCCGGGCCGTAGATGAGCGAAACCGACAGATCGGGGTCAACTGGTCAGATATATGTTACTTCAACCCACTCCAGCGGCTACGTGCGTGACCAGAGACTGCGAGAAATGGGTCGCATCGTGCTACAATCAACCCGCCAACTGAAACAGATACAGCCGATTGATTGGAGCATTGAAGCCGTTTGCAAGGTGCTTGATCCCAGCGATGGTTCACAGACCCGCCTGAGGCCCGGGGCAGCTCATGACAGACCTGTCTTATCCAGCTCCCCTCGTCTGAGGGGACATTGGGAACCTACTCGGGGCAACATACCAACGGGGCAGCTCTGTACGCCATGACGAGTCGCTTCCTCGCACCAGTTGTTGTCCATCGACTCACACTAAACGCAGGAGGCCGCCCGCCCGCCAAGGGTGCCCGTCTCAGAACGGGCCCGTCGTTGATGGGCCGGGCTCGGTACCGCCGCGGTAGCTTCGCTGGTTCTCCGCCATCAAGAGGGGCACCCATCCTATCCAATGATGTTCTCCCCGCACGCCGAAGATGCCGAGTCTGGTCTGGGCCAGTGGTGGGCGATGGCCGATGGGGAAGCGCAGCCTGCTCGGCCCCCCTGGTTCATCTGCCGATAAGCGATCGAAGGGGAACGTTGGCCATCAATAACGGGGGACAGCCCTCGCCTCCAACGTGATCACCGTTGTCGGCGGAGGAGGATGAGACCGGGCAGTACAGTGCGCCTTTCCCGCCTCTCTTATAGGTGGATGAGACCACCGACTCGGACCACCTTTGCCCTAGAGCATCGATGCTATGCACCGGGGGTCAAGGAAGGTGGTGTGGAGATGGGGGGGTCGGCTGATGCGCTCGAGGATGGTGGATGAGGGGGATGAGGGGGCCTCGCCGACTTCCACTTCATCCTGGGGCATGAAAGTGCCAGTGGCAGCCATACTATGGGACGGTCAAATCCCAAAGAAACGAATCTGGAGCGGGCACAGAACGGGTATGCGAGATGGAAAGGCGAGAGAGTCCGCGGTATCCCAAAGAGCCTGTCCCAAAGCCCCCATCCATGGGTCAAGACGGCAGGGTCCGCGGGGCATCTCCAAACCGGGATTTTCCCACGATACACCTATGGCAAGTTAATGGGGTATCACGCAGCATTGGTTGAGGCTGTCTGATTTCATGCTGACCTGCTTTTAACAGAACGAACCGTGACCTGACCGACCGGGCTGGCTGCTTGACCGCCTCGCCTCACCCTCGACATCCTTACCGGTTCCGTGCTGACGTGGACGCGGCATGAGAGCTTCCCGTCGGCTACGCACATCAAAAGAGCCTTGCGCAGCACGTAGCCCCCACCTCTCCCCCTTTCGGCACCGTTTGTAACTCGTCAGCCTTTCTTTTGTACGTTTTTCTGATGAGTAAGTAAGGGTGTGACCCCATCGGTTTGCTCGGGGAGGGAACTCAACCGCTCAAGTTCATTCTCGGGGGCGGGCCGCGGGGATTTCCCGTGCCTTTGAACCCGGACTAGCATTTGGTCGGAACGCCATTGAGGGCGTGATATTGGTAGCATGCTTCTGACTTTTTAGATCTTGGCGTTGTTCCTTTCTACGAGGGTTACTTCTGACCCAAACTGGGTTTGGCTCAAGGTAGAGTTTTGTGAAATTATATTGAGTCCCTGATAGCTTTATTAAACATTTCCATACGATTCGAGTCTTCGGTTCTCAGTGCTTCAGTATTTTGATACTTTTACCGCGGTGTGATTTAGTCTACTTCTCTCATCATTCACTTTATGTTGTAATCCCCCGTCATTCTTTCCAGATTTCTATTCCTTCCGCCCTTTACAACAGTGCCTTCAAAAGTCCACTCACTCAATAGGTAGCCCCGTAGCCGCACTAACACCACCCCAGAAGAAATCATCCGCGGGACGGCACGGGCCTCGTCTGAGCTTCAGAGGAGGTAACGTTAGCACATAGCGCGGGGGAAAACGACCCCGGATGATCGACTGCACTGTAACGGCTACTCTGTCGATCTAGCGTCTGGATGAGACGGGATCGAGATTTGAAAAAAAAAAAAAAAAGAAAAATCCGTACTTGAGACGACGGACGGGTATGGGATGGATCGTATGGGATGGTGTTGTAGCATTGGATGACTGAATCTGTGTCTTGTCATGATAGCTTACGTTGGGTTTATTTTGTGTGAAGGATACGATACCATTTTAGGAGGCGGAAACGTATTCTCCAGCGTACCTAGCCTCCTATCCTTACTTCCTTCTCTCTCTCTCTCTCTCTCTCTTTTTTTTTTTTCCCTGTCTCTCTCTGTGTCTGGGCCGCCAGACAAGGAGACAGAGCACAGATTCCCAAGCCCCAAGCGGGACGGCAAAGACAAGTCCCGGTGACCCGGAACCGCGGTTCCGTCCGCGTCGGGGGTATGTGTCCCGCGTACCTGGATTCCTACCCGTGACGGAAAGTTGACGGGAGAACAAGGGGTGCTGGACAAGATCGTCACAGGGGAAGGGACCGTGGGCGTCTGAGCTCCGGCGTGGCTTAGTGTCCTTGACCGAGGTTGTCGGTTCTTGGGGTATGCTCTTTCCGTGCTGTTAACGTTGCATCTAAGGGATTTGGGGTTTCTAGTGGTCAAGTCACGTCTTTCCATCTCTGCGGCAGAATGGGAAGCCAAAAACTAAGGTGGAGGAGGCGAAGAAAGGGGGACGAGTAATAGGAAAAGGGGTAAAGTAAACAGTCGGGAAATAAACAGTACTAACTAACCACCGGTAACTAATGCACACCCATTACGGGCCGCCTGGTTAGGTAGCTGGACAGGGAAACAGCGTATATACTCCGCTGTCTAGTCCCATTTCCACAGATACTAACCATATCCCAATGCAATCGTTCTTCCCAGAATTAAAAGAGGACCGAAAAGTCAAACATAGTCAAGCACCGCAAGAACCACACAAAGCTGCAACGTTAAACCAACAACCAAAATATAAAACCAAAACTCATGGCATAGTTACTCAATTCAACTCGCCTCATTCAATCAATATTCCTATTCTCCATTCCCCCTCCTCTCCTTCCCCCAATAAGGTATATGTATGTACTAAAAAAAACACCAAAGTTAGGCACTGCTCCGTTTTACCCCGTCCGACCTATCCCCCCATTCCACCACCCCATCCCCGCCTTTAAAACGCCAGAATTCGCCTTTTTCTTGACTGATCTCACTTAGAGAAAAAAAGAGGCATACCAAAAAAGGGGAATAAATAAATAAATAATACAAAAGGAAACGAAAAAGGGGGCAGGGGGACGGGAGGGGAATAAAACACCCAAAACCAAAACCAACCGACACAAAACATTGGTAGCAAAAAAATCTCCGCTCAGTAGTCCTGCTTTTGTTGTTTGCTCTGAGTTTGAGTCCCGCCCCAAAAAAGGACAAAAGAAAAAAAAAAGGATATTTGTTTGCGTGGCCTCTTTGAGTGGATTCCCAGGACTCGAGGTTTATTTGTGTGTCTCTCCCGGCACGCCAGCCCAATGATGGATAACACCAAAAAAGGGGAAACAGAAAACATTGGTAAATCAAAAGGCACGGCGGGGCCAAGAATGAGTATGAGTGTAGTAGATCGTTCAGCCAGCCACGCATGCTCTGCTGGGCGCTGGCTGGGTGCTGGGTTATCCAAGCGGTAACCTACCACTCCTACGAGAGAGCAGCAGCGAAGTGGCAGTCCCCCGGAAGACTTAAGAATCCGCCAACTTGGCAAAATGCTTCGACCAAATCCACCCGACCACATCGCGCGGATCGTCCTGGTTCTTGGCTAACCAGAGCTCGCCCTTTTCAGCAATGACATCAAAGATCTGGTGTTTATCGAGTCAGTTTCATTTGTAAGATAGTGTTAGAAGAAACCCGCGTTAACTCACCTCGCCCGCCTGATACGTCAAATAAGGATACCCCGCCTCATGCTTGGTCGTCTCAATATTGAACTCAAACAGCGACGCCGCCAGCCAAAGCACATTGTACCCATTCGCAGCCGCCCCGCTCCTGTCCCTCGACGACGCCCTCGACGACCGCGCACTCCCCTCCGGCCCGTCGGGCATGGGCATGGCCGAGTTGAACAACCCAGAAAGACGGCGCGTTGCGGGCTGGTCGGTGCTGCCCGGTGTATACTGGCTCGGGTAGCTCGTTGAGTTGAAGGTTGAGTTCGAGTCGCGATGGCTGATCATCGCCGGGGGCAGGGTGGCCGAGTCGGAGCTCTGCCGCGGCAGGCTGGTCGAGTCGAAACTGCGGCCGGTGGCGGGGCGAGCTGGGGGTAGGTTGGCGGATACGGGAGGTGGGCGGGATACGTTGTGTGATGGTGGCGGTGGATCGGCGGGGGTGACGGGGGAGCCGGAGCCGGCACCGGTGGCGCGGCCTTGGTTGTTGATGCCCGAGTAGTAGTCACGGTAGTAGTTTGCGGGGCTGGGCAGGGCGCTGCTGGCCGGGGAGAGGCTGAACTGCCCGCTGTTGCGCTTAGCAAAGTCGGGCGTCGGCAGCGAGGGAATGTGGTCGCTGTTGATCGAGAGACCCCTCCCGCGTGATGATAAGATATCGCTCGGGCGCGATCGAGTCTTGGAAAGGATGGAGGACGAGTCGTCAGCGGTGGACTGGGACGCTCTGCCTTTGAGCGTGGGGTTGACGATGCTCAGCGCTTTGGCTCGCTCTTCCTGCAGAGCAAATTCCCGCTGGAAACTGGACACGATCTCGGAGACCTCGGGAACTTGCGCGACATCCGATAAGGGCGCCTTGACTTTCTCTTTCCAGATCGAGAACCACGTCGCCTGGATGCTGATGAACTTGCCGAGGCAAATGTTCCCAATCTTGGCGGTCATCGCGGACAGCTTGGGCAGTTCCTTCTTGAGAGTGTCATTGAGCGCCTCGTACTGCTCAACCAGCTCTGCGAGTTGCTTGTCTATCTTCTTGCCGTTGGCTTTGAGCGCCATGTATTTCTCGTAGTCCAAACGCCGCTTTGCCCGCTTCTTCATGGCCAGCGAGGGGTTACCGTAGCACCGAATGACTTGCTCAAACGGCTCAATGACGTGTTTCCGCACATCTGCTAGCTACCGTTGCGTTGTGATATCAGTAAATGGGCATACCGACCGACTCGGAGGTGGGATAAAGCGAAGAAAGATGTATAGGAAAACCAAAAGAATAACTCACATGCTTTTCCAGGGCAATCTTCTCAATGTCTCTCATAGAGACATTAAACTGCACCCATTTGCTCTCCAGATGCGCATAGTCTCGAGACGGTTGGAGACGCATGACTAGCTCCATGGACGACAGTTGTTGCAGAAAGTCATGGACATAAGTGGTAATGTTTCTCGTGTAGAACTCCACATCACGCAGCACCACCTGAAGCCGCAAGTAGTCATCCCCAAACTGCTGCTGGTACTTTTGGTAGTCCTCGTCTTCCGCTGTCTTGGTGGCGGCCACCTGCAGCTTGTCGACACGTTTCCCAAACGCCCTCGCGAGGCCGGCTCTCACATCCGACTCTTTCCGCTTTCTGTTGCTGACGATCTGACCCACCAGCTCAAAGTTCTTCTTGGTCTTGTTGATCTCGTCGATGGCATCGATGACGACCGTCCTGGCGTTGGTGAGCGCTTCGCGGTCTGGGTGGTCCTCGGGGGTGTACTTGAGGAGGTGGGTGATGATATCGGGATATTTGGTGATGCGCTGCATTGGCTTGATCAGAAGCGAGTCCAGGTTCCAGGCGCTGGTCAGCTCTTTGGCCACCTCGTTGCACTCGCTCAGCCAGACCATGACGGCCTCGTCCTCCTGGATTTGCACCAGTCGCTTCGAAGAGCTGTCGCTCGACCGGAGATACACCTCGTGCACTGCCTTGAGCTGCTCGATGTTCTTGGCGAAAACCGGGCCGAGCAAAGTGAGGCGGTCCTTTTCGTCGTTCCGCTCGGGCCGATTCGACGAGAAGAGCGAGTTGAGAGTCGCCGTGTCGGAGTCTTTTATATCTGGTGTGGGCAGCGGGGAACGCCTGCCTTTCGGGGTGTATACGGTCGAGGCGCCCTCTTTGAACTCGATCAGTAACGCGGCATGGAAAGCAATGATCTCGTCGGTGTTCCTGAAGATCAGCTTGACGGTCTTGTTGTCTAGGTTGGGACACGCCTCGGCCGTGCCCTTGTAGATCTCCTCCACGACTGTCATGTCTCGAACAAAGGCGTCTTCCGTGTCGATGAGCTCGCGGATGACCAGCTGCCTCTGCCGGAGCCTCTTTTGCTCTTCTTGCTCCTTGTCGGTAAGCGGTGTCTGGCCATCGTAGAGGGTCTCGCCCAGTGAAACCTGAGACGGCTCCTCGCCCAGGCCGAGCTGGGAAATAGATTGCGGTGGCGACACGGCGCCTGAGGGGCCGCCCCCGTCTTGGCTGTACGCAAGGCTCTCCGGTCGGCTTTCGGCGAGATACAAGGTGCTCTCTCGTTCGTATACACGCTCTGAAGAAGGCGGAAGAGAGGGATCGCGTCTCGTTACCGACGCTATTCTTTCAGGCTCGGATCCGAGGCGTGTTGAGTGTGTGTTCGCAGAGCTGAATTCTGGGAAATGATGCTGGCCAGCTGGTAACTCGGGGATCATAGGGGATGGTGGAGCACCCGACTGAACGAATGAAAGCGACTCTGGACTTTGGGTGATGCCGTCTTGGCTGGATGCGCAGGTACTGAGATCCCCGGCGGAGGGTGCAACTTTAAATGATGCATCGTCATCGTCATCGTGGTGGTCATCGTGGCCATCTTCATAACGGTGGGTCTCAGATTGATGCGGCTGCGATGCAAAGTTGGGTTGGCTGGCATTGCGGTCTTCGCTGGCAAAGGTAAAATCGGTCCAAGCAGAGTGTTGGCTCGTGCGGTTTCCCGGGGCCAGCAGGCCAGGCACGGCCAAACTGTGTGACGCCTCTGACGGCGCTTTGTGGTATTCTGATGCAGGTGGCGTGCCATCTAGAGGTGTACTGGGATCTGAGGGAGTGAACGTCGAGTCACGCAACAACGCAATGTTATCGTGCAGGCGTGGCCCCGTGTAGAAGTCTTCGAGCCGATCCAGCGTCTCGCTACCCACATCAGACCCCCCAAAGCGTGGTGTACTAACCGGTTGCGGGGTCCCAGATGCAGCCATCTCCGGGATGCTGGCATGTGACGGCTCAATTGATTGAGGCACGTGGCTCTGCGGCACAGTGGCACGAGGCGGCTCCTGGTGCGACAACGGCCTGAAATCGGGTTCAGGGCCCAGAATCGTTACCGTGGTCTCATACTTATCGGAAAATGTGTACGGCTGGGGCACATACTCATCGTCCTCTGTTGTAGGGGCCGGGGCCGGGGCGGTCGCGGGTTGCGTATCGGGCTCAAATGTGGCGCGTGTAGGCGTAAGCTCATACTCAGACGATGGTTGCTGGTGGGGCACTGAAGATGTATCGAGCGATATTTGTATGGAAACGCTGTCGTCGGCTTCATCGGAGAAGGGGGATTGGTACGATGTTCGTTGGCGGAGTACTGGTGTTGCGACTTGGACAGGAGGGTCTTCGACCGCTTCGGGCTGAGGGTCGTTGACTTCCACCGGGTTCGGCCAAGCCACAACCGAAGGTGAGCGGTCAGTAGTGGGTTGTGGATTCTCCGGCCTGGGGGGTTCGGTTTGAATTTCGGTGTCAAATTCGGTAATCGCGCTCGTCATGGAAATGGCCGAGAATGGGGCGGCGTCGTGCTCGTCGAATGGCGATTCTGTGTTAGGGAAACTGCCCGGAATCTCCAGTCTAAGGGGTTCAGCGGGGGCAGGTGGATTGTAAAACTCCTCGGGGGGTGGTTGAGAGGGAGTAGGAGGATCCCTTTCAATCTCTCGAGGCTCCTCTATCCTGGGCACCTCGTGGTCAGAAGCCGGTTCTGAGAGCTGGCTGCCGCTATCCCGGGCACTTCCGTCCCGATTATTACCACTCTCAGCCTTTTTGGGGCCCTTTGTGGCGTTGGCGGCCGCGGCCGCGGCCGCTGCACGAGCGTTTTCCATGGCCGCTGCCGTGGCCGCCTCAGCTTCCACCTTGGCCTTGGCCGCAGCAGCTAACTCTTCCTTCCGCTTCTCTGCGGCGGCCCGCCTTACTTCCCTAGCCTGTGTCTCTCGTATGGACTTGCTGTAGGCTAGCTTGATAGTCTCGCGCCGCTGGGCAAAGTCTATCGCGCCGACGGATACCTTGCGTCTCCGGGGAGTCGTCTCGTCTGCCTTCTGGGCCGACCGTTGTGACTGCTTCGGAGCCGAGGCACCCTGCTCCACGGCTCGCATTCTCGAGGCAGCGGTCGTTGCCGTGGCTACGGACTGGCGTGGTCGAGAGCTCCGTAGACTGGGGGACAGCTTTGCGGGTGGTACGGAAACATACGCATTAAGCCGGCTGCTCGGCGCCTGCGTTGGCTGTTGCGAAGTCGAGATGTTGGATGGGGGCGCTTTGCGGGCCGAGGTTGGTGTCCTCCCCGACGAGGTTTTCGGGACGGATGCGGTAGTAGGCGTCCTCGCGCGTGAACCCGGGGGCGCATGGTGTTGCCGCGAGGATCTCCCACTCGCTGTGGAGTATTTGGTATTGAAGGTGGACGGAGAGTTGGAGCGTGTCGAGGCCGGGCTTGCATGCCCCGAGGTGGCACCGTTCAGTCTTCGGGCCATGCGTGGGAGGCGCGAGGTTGGTGAGGTGGGCGAGGTGGGTGATATGGGCGATATCGGTGAGCCGACATCGTACCTGGCTGCACTGTAATCCGGACGGCTTAATGTGAGTTTCGTGGTGGCAAGGTCGCTCTGGGCCCGGGCGTGTTGGGATTTGGGTATCTTTGATGTTTGATGACCTGTATTTTGTCGAAGGTGCTTCTCTTGTTTCTCTTGTTGCGGTTGCTGCTCCGGCTGCGCCTGTTGCTGCTGCTGCTGTTGTTGTCCGGCTGACCCGGCCGCTCGGTACCAATCGGTGGGCGACGGGGGTTCGATGTCGGGATCTGAAAAGCTGCGCACATGTGGTCGCACCGATTCGGCAAGGTTGGAGTCCGAAGTTCTCCTGCTCGGCCGGGCCGGTTCGATGCCGAAGCCTGGTGTGACCGAGTCGCTCTGCTCGGGGAGAATCTCGCCAAATAGAAGCCCATTCTGGCGCGGGGCCGTGGGCGACTGGGGTGCCATGGACTTTTTGGATAATTTATTGGAAGGGGAAGGGCTGGTGGGATGAGACCCTGCGCCGCGAGGCCTGGATAGCCTGCTCGCGAACGACTGGGACGAGTTGCCGGAGGTGCCCGTGTGCGGGGCGTCGGCAGCGGGCTTCAATCGGGGCGAACTGCGGGCTTCGGAACCTCTCCTCGTGTCGCGCGTTGTGTCTCGTGCCCTGCTCGCTGGCCGTGATGTACGGCCATGCGATGTTGCACCACCGCTAGCACTAGGTGACCTGGCACCAAGCCTGCTTGAAGTTGTGTCTCGCGTTGTCGAACTTCTTGACGCGCTTTTCCGGGTGCCCGAGGCGGATTGGTGAGTCGGCGACTGATCGAATTTCTTTTTCAGATCCTTGACACTGGGCGGCGTGCCGCCGGCTGTGCCACGACGGTCCTCTGCTGTGCCTGACGGCCGCGACGCTCCCGCAGCAGCGCCTGCAGGTGATCGGCTGTCAGTGGGGTTCGAGACCGAACGCTGGCTCGATCGGAAGGCACCGCGATGGGATGGCGGGACGGCGGGGTGCTTCGGGGTTGTCCCGTTCCCGTTGGAACGCAGCGACGGCGGCAGCTGACGGGTGCTGCTCGAGACGGCCTGGGCCATGGCGTCGTGTCCTACGGGCGGGGAGGCATTCCCGGAGTTGTTGTCCGTGGTCGAGGGTTCGGTCACGCCCCGGTAGCTGCGATAAAAATCGTCGGGATCTCCAGATTCGCAGTCGCCGGAAGGGTGCGGGGCATGGGGAGTAGCGGCAGCGGCAGCGGCGAGGAGGCTCACTGCGAAGGTGTGCGGATCGTGGTCGTCTCCGGGCGAGGCACTGTCGAGGGGCTCGGGGTAGTGGTGGTAGTGTTCGACGCGCTGAGGTGGGACAAGCGACGATTGATGATTGCGGTTTTGATTTTGATTTTGATCGGGGGGATAGCCGTGGCGATAGTCGAAGCGGTCGAATTCGTCCAACTTGTCGAACCGCCTGAACTGCTCTGGGTTCTCGGGATCGGTAGAACGATCGGAACGGTCGTCGAGGCGATTGAGGCAATCGAGGCGATCTAGGGGGTCAAAGTGATCGGGGTGGTCCGGGTGGTCGAGGAACGGGCCGGAGCGCGAAACAGCCTCGTCTCGGAGACTGCCATGGTCCATGGTGGTGTCGGTCTCTTCGTCGCTGGTCCCATCACTCTGTGGCAGCTCCAGGCGGGCTGACTGCGACGGTGCACGCGCAGCGGAGCGAACAGGATTTGCGGATTCGAATGATCATCGATGTCCCATGCGGGCAGCGAGGGGGGCGGCTCAGGTGGGTTGCTTTGCTCGGTTTTGCTTGGTGGACTTTGCTCGGTGACCTTTGCTTGGTCGGCGGGACGTCGAAGAGGGGGGGCCTATGAGCCTGGAGGCAGTGAGCCTGTCAACGTCGATGCGCTGGCAAGCACAGAGATTGGTTGGATCTGGGCCGGACGGGCTGCCTGCAGAAGCAATGCTGGGGGGAAAGAAGAACGCATGTGGATGGTGTGGATCCATGGGGCGCCCATCCATGGGATGATGCCCGGCAGGCGGAATTGGACAGGGGCAGCGGACAGCCGCCCTGAAGGAAACCACGATGAATGGAAAGGTGCTCCGAGGATCCACCTTCTCGGCCGGCCGCCCGTCCAGGCCCCATCCACTTTCCCGTTGTCTCCCACTGAAAGCCCTTCCACATCCGCTCAGACCCAGCCGATGCGGGCCCGCGGCAGGCCTTCCACCCGCCTGTGAACGGTGGACACCCTCACACCATCACCAAGGCTGGCTACGAGGGAGGCTCGCAACTCCCCCGGACCCCGGCTTCCTTCAGCCTTGGCTCGGGTCGACCTCCTCCCTCATTCGCAGATTATCTTAGCGGCCGTTAATCGGGCTTTTTTTCTCTGCATTTAGGATTTGGGCATACGGAAAGCGTCAGGTTCCTGTGATCAGCACGGTTGGGTTCCGTCTCTTGTCCCAATGTCAAGCTCTATTCTAAATGCATCCGTTTTTGCAGTTTGCATTGTTTCGAGGATTCTGTCTCCCTTAGGTCCAGCCCTGTGATACCTGCCATATTGTTGTTTCCGGCGAGAGTTTGAGCAACATCAGCGTAATTTCCTAGGGCAGAAGAGGGGTCCGAGCCCCGGATCCTCCTGTCGGTTCGATACGACAGCCGCGCCGGCAAGAAAAAGTCGCACCGGCCGGGTTGCAATCCGCAGTTGGAGAGTGGGTTCAACCAATTCGGGCACCACTGTTTCGAGATACAGGAGGAGGATCAAGGTGGAATAACAAGAACAACGGTCATGTGTAAATTACTGCTTACCTCCACCTTAACAGATCGAGAATCGTTGACAGAGACAAGGCAACCCATAAATGAGCAGGACCTTGAACATCAGCCGGTAGGTACTCCGTGCCTGAGGAAATGGAGTTGGGGGTGAGAAGCAACAAGCCTGAAATCAAATCGAAATCGAAGGTGGAACGCGACTGCCCGATTCGGATTACTCAGTCAAGGAGACCAAGTTCCATTGGACTCGGGGCTGAATGCTCCTGCTCGGTCGATTTCAGTTTCTTTTTCCCCTCCAATTTCTGTTCCGCGTTGCCCCATGTACTCCATGTTTCTTTTCTGTCTTGCTGTATTTTCATCCGACCATGGCAAACAAAGAAGGACCATGAAATGGTGGATATCATTGCTCACCACATTTTGCATGTCGTGACGTGCAGCTGAGACCCCCCTCAGATCGCTGCGAACGAGGGGCATAAGCAAACCATTCCGATAACCCCCTTGTTGAAAATCCGGCCAGCGCAGGGCAGAATGTCGCGTTCTTCCGCAGAGTAATCACTTCCCAGAACGCTGGATTTCTCCACCTGGTCAATTGGTCTTTGTGGCTCGCTCGCACTGTTCAATTCCGGGAATCGTTCGTTCGAAAGCGGGAAACAGCTTGCCAGCACCGGATGGGACAACCGGACAACCGACTCGATGCGAACGACCGGCACAGGCTCAAACGGGAGGCATAACGTTACACAATCAACCCTTCGGCTCGCGGCGTGGCTGCCCAATGACGCCGCAATTCGATCACGGCACACTCGCGATTTCCCGAGGTTGCCAAGAAATCCAAAGGCGCTCCACAAGCAAGCAATGATTTCAACATCCCAGCCCGCAACCGACGAAACAAGTACTAACACTGAATTGGGGGTGAGCCTGCGAGGACCCCCTCCCTTCCCTCCAAACAATTGTGATTCACCAAAAAGAAGAGGCAAGAAATCAACAGGACCGCCGTCAGCCATTGGCACTCCCTTCGCAACTTTCGACGCGCCGACGCGCTTTCACAAAATCCGGTTGAAACATTGGGCCCTCACCCACAGCGTCCCCTCGGGCTTGGCTGCCCCTTGGAGTCCCCCGTGTCTCGCGTATCCAATCGCAAGACATTCCCCACGACCATCTCACTGGCGGTGCTTTATGGGGAAACCTGCCTATTGACGGTTGAAAAAAAACGAGGCCTTTCGTCAATTCCCTCCCTTCCGCCCTGGGGCTCCCCACGCTATTTGTACCCAATCATTCAGGAGCACATGTCAGCCCGGCGCTGATAGGGTTTGGTCCCTCGCCTGCAGCAAATTTCCCATTATCAAAGTGCTTCTTTTGGAATTCTGGAGCAAAGAAGCATTGGGGGTCATCAGGGGGAGCGCGGGGTGGTATCGTCGGGCAGCCGCAGGAATCACCAACCGAGAGAGCCCGACTTCAACGGCCGGCCCCACATCAGTGATGGCGCAGGCCCCTTTGCCGGACCCTGGATCCGATTCCGGGTCGAGGAAAAGGGCGCGGAGCCAGGCCGGGGGATGGGACCGTCCAGCCGAACCACCCACGAAGGACATCAAGTGTGAAAGGGGATTACGCGGCATCGTCGTTAGGCACGCACTGCTCGCTCAGTATTACCCAGAAATCCAAACCCTGAGGCAATATGCCCTCTCAAAGCTGCCGTCCTCGTCGCGGATTCGCCGGAGGAAAATTGCGTTGGTAGGATCCGACCGGTCCGACCCGAAGAAGCCCACCAGTGCGGAAGAACAGGCACTTGGGGACCTTCTCGACTCGACCCTGGTGGGACGCCGACCACTCCCGGATGCTGATCCCGATCACCGCTGGAATCAGTGGGTGAACTTCTCACAAAAAGGTGACGAGTCATATGTGACACTCTCCGGCCTCAAGGGGTCAATATTTTCTCAGGCTGAGGTAAGGATACAATAGAACCCTCCCTACAAACGCCGACTGGCCGCATGAGGAAAGTCCGACTTACATGTCGTTGCGCTTCAAGATCGTAGACTTCGTCATATGGCTCCTCTTTTCCCGAGAACAGGCCGGCCCTTGGCCGAAGCATATTCTCTGTGATGGATATCGGAGGCAGGCCGGCCTAGGTCCGGGGCTGCGACCTGAGCTGGCTACCACGACGACCATCCCAGGACTGTTTCCGCTGTATCCCAACCAGCATGCCCACGCTTTGAAGCAAGCGCCTTGGCCCCAGCTGCTCATGCTGCTGGGGAAAGAAGGGGAACGTATCATGATAGACCTACTTGTTGATTGTGCCGTATTCCGGTCTGTAAAAGCCGGTAGGGGGAACTTTTATCAGTTGAGCGGAGCCCCCATCTCTGAACTCGAGCCATTCGAGCAAAGTGAAACCCAAAAGGACCGTTCTACGGCAGCCGATGGGCAGCAGGCCGTCGAGCTTCGCCCGTCCGAGATCTCCTTTATCAGGAGTAGGATGCTGTATGCTAGGGCTGCCCTCAACGCTCGCGGCCTCGTCCATTTTGGGTTACGCCATATTCGTATGTTGAGTCGCTGAACTCGCTTGTCAAACACGGTGCTCACAAGGCGGTTTAGATGTTCTGAATCGATATCCTCCTAAAGCCCAGACCACCGGGGAAACCAGCGAGCCGGATGAGAGCGTCGTGCATGTTATGATGTACATGTTTCCCCGGCAATTCGGCCTCCACAACGTCTTCACCTCGGCCGTGGACCGGCGGATGACCGCGCAGAAGTTCCAGGACTATACTCTCCGAGAAGAAGAGATCACCGCCAAGTTTCCCGTAGCCAAAGACGGAGAGCCGAGGGACAAGATAAAAAAGCTTTCTTGTCATGTTCCGAAACGGCTACGCGGGAAAGCGGCTCACTTAGTTGGCCGTCTTCAGGTGTTTCATACACGCTGCTCCTACACGGAGATGCTGCACCACTATTGTCCGGTACGTTAGTTTTAGCACGGCCGAACTGCCAGTTTTATCACTGACATGTCAGGTTCTCGGGCAAAAGAACGATCAAGAGCCAACCCAGGTGGCTTCCACCAAAGCGCCGCCGTCTTCTAGATCACTGGCCAAACAGCCCAGGGCCACGAAGAAGTCACGACCGCCGGCCCTTTCCAGCTCCAATATTCAGTATACTTCGATCACGGACCTCGCTACGCCCGCCGCGAAGGTTTCGGCCTTTTGCCAGGCGGTGCTCTCTAAAGTGATTCCGAATGGGTTCTGGGGTAATAGCACCACCCAGGCGCACAATAAATCCCGCTTTTTGAAGGCAGTGCACCGTTTTGTCCATCTCCGGCGGTTCGAGAGCATGTGTCTCCACGAGGTGATGCAGGGGATGAAGGTAAGGCGTGCAAGTATGTCCATGCTCCTAATGGAGGGCTAACAGGTAGGCAGATTAATGACATAGAATGGCTGGCCCCTCCTAAGCTTAGCAATCAGAAGGCCTCCCTGTCCGACACGCGGAAGCGGACCGAGATCTTCTATGAGTTTCTGTACTACCTGTTTGATTCATTCTTGATACCCCTGATCCGCAGCAACTTCTACGTCACCGAGTCCAACGTGGACCGGTATCGTCTCTTCTTCTTTCGCCACGATGTCTGGCGCTATGTAGCTGAGCCGGCCATGGCTACGCTCAAGACGGACATGTTTGAGGAAGTCAAGACGGAGGATGCACGACGGATCCTCGAGTCTCGCCGGCTGGGTTACGCCCAGGTGCGCCTGCTGCCCAAGCAGACCAAGATGCGCCCGATCATGAACCTGCGGCGGCGGACCCTCCTGCAGGGGAATAAGAAAGTTCTGGGGCGCAGCATCAACTCCACGTTGGTGCCAGTTAGCTCAGTGCTGAAGCTTGAGAAGGTGAGAGCCCTTGCCCCTTGCGCCCGTAGTACGGTAGACTTTGTGTGTTTTAACATACATCAGAGCCTGAATCCAGACGTCCTGGGCTCGTCACTCTTCTCCGTAGGAGACATCTACGAGCGTATCAAGGCCTTCAAAGCCCAGCTCGGGGATCAACCTGGGGCCTTGTACTTTGCCAAAGTTGACGTCCAAGCCGCGTTCGACTCGATCCCGCAGGCGGCCATGATGGAGCTTCTCCAAAAGATTCCAGGCTACAGCCAATACCACCTTCACAAACATGTCGAGGTTTCCCTCCCCCACGGAGCAGCACCACCACCTGACTCTGCTCCTCCCACAGTTGCCATACGGCCCAAGCCCAAACCCACCAGACGCTGGCACGCTACGGCCGCCGCGCCCAACGACACCCGCCCATTTACAGACCGGCTCGAGGATACCGGGAATACCAACGGCCGTCCACAACCACCGGCTCTGGCTCAACGCAAGCAAGGCACCGTCTTCGTTGGCAGCGCGGCGCGCACCGTTCTCTCGCGGCGTGAAGTGCTTGCGCTCGCATCTGCTCACGTCGGCCAGCATCTCGTGCGTATCGGTAAGAAGTACTACCGGCAACGGGCAGGCATCCCACAGGGGTCGGTTCTGTCGACAGTTTTGTGTAGTTACTTTTACGCGGACCTCGAGAGGCAGGTATTGGGCTTCCTTAGAAGTGGGGGTAGTGAGAACGCTGAGAACGCTGAGCAAGACGGCGATGGTCTGAGGGACTCTCTGCTGATGCGTCTGATTGACGATTTCTTGCTCATCACCACGGATCGCGAGAAAGCAAAGAGGTTCGTGGAGGTTATGCATCGGGGCGTGCCTGAGTATGGTGTGGTCGTCAGCCCCGGGAAAAGCCTGGTCAATTTTGGACTAGTTGTGGATGGGGTAGAGGTGCCGCGGGTTGGGGCTGGGGAGAAGAACAACGCGGGGAGGCGGGAGCACCTGTTCCCGTACTGTGGGTTGTTGATTGGGACCGAGACGTTGGCCGTTTCGAGAGGGCAGACTGGTAGAGGAGGCGGTGCGAGTAATGGTATGTTTGTTCCCTGTCCGTGAGACATGCGATTGGTGGATGGAACAAGCTAACTTATACTGACACAGGCATATTCAACTCATTGACGGTTGAGTACTCGCGGTCTCCCGGCGTGAACTTTAAGCGGAAGGTCATCAGTAAGTTGGAGACGCTTACCTATTTTCTTTCCCGTTTTACACTCAGTCACTAACCAATGTCAAAGACGCGTTCAAGATCCAATCCCATCTCATGTTCTTCGACATGGCCCACAACTTCCGCCGGCGCGTGCTGGCCAATATCTATGCTGCCTTTTCCGAGACGGCGACCAAGATGTGGGCATATGCTCGGTGTATGGTGAGCCGGCCGGGAACGGCGGTTGTAATTGGTATGTTACTCCCTTTCGACGCCGTGTTCGTAGAGGGGAAGGAACTCATAAAAGGAGGGGGGATATGTAACAACAAGCTAGCTAATTCAATATCTGAAAACAGACACGATCAAGACCCTGATTGACGTTGCTTTCGTGCTGCTGACAAGCAAAACGCGGCAAGAGCGGCATCCGGGGTATGTGTGCTCGGTACGAAAGAAAGAGGTAGCTTGGTGAGTTCTCTTCCATCACCACCTGTGCAACGTAGAGGGCCACCGTCATGGTTCCCATCCATGTAGCCGTCCAAGACATTGTTAGAGTGCTTACCAGATGTGATAGGTTGGCCATGGTCGCGTGTAAGGAGGTGCTAGCGAAGAAACAGACAGGGTATGGGAAAGTGCTGGCGTGGCTGGAGGATGAGGAGAAGACGCTGGGGGGTGGGAAGGGGGTTGATGTGGCGTTGTTGTCGAGGGTGGTGGGAGAGGCTTCGATGTATGAGGCAGGATAGACTGGAATGTTGGACGCTTACGTACATGTAGGAAGCCTTGGGTTGTGATCGTCATTCATTCATAAACTCTATCGGTTCGTATATGTACCCTTTCTCCTTCGCATCTCATCCAGCCATGTATGTCATGTCAAGCCATGATACATTCATATCGTCGTGGTCGTCAATCGAGGGGAAACCGAGAGAAGAAACTGAAACCAGATGAACAGAAGAGAACGCAGCGCAACATGAACATAGCAGATAGCATAAGAAACCCGTAACCGTGCCAGACACATGAGAAGACGAACCACGAGCCAAGGAAAGGGACGACGTATTTAATGCCCAAGAACAAAGCATAAGAGCAGACAAAACAGCAAGGCAAAGCAGCAACCAACTTCATGAACGGAATCGCAAAATTAACCCCTGCCCCATAGGCCTTAACCTCTCTCATCTCATTTTTACCCCCATCCTCATTTCCATCTTCACTCATCCTCGTTCATCCTCGTTCATCCTCGTTCATCCTCATCCCATCTCGACTCATCCTCATCTTCACTCATCCTCAGAGTGAACTGCTTATCAAAATCAAACCATTTGCGATCAACCAAAAACTCATTCATCAATTACCAATAACTGGAAATAAACCAATTCAAAGCAACAAAAGGGAATAGGTAGATATCCGACCCCTTAAAACCCACATCCTCATCACCTCGACATAAGTCAAAAGCAAAAGACTCCCAGACTCCAACATCAAGCAAGTAAGCAAGCAAGCAATCCATAAGAAAACAAGATCAGAAGACAATAAGACAAGATAGAAATCGAAGAGAACCAAAAAGAATAAACGAAGAAAATGTCGAAAAATAAAAAAGAAAAGAAAAATCGAAATGTAACGTGATTTTCCCATCCGTTCCCCCCATGGTATCCCTTCCATTCCCCCATTCCATTCCCCATTCCCCATCCTTAAGCCAAGTTCATATTCATCATCTCAATACCCCTTAATCCATAGATTTCTCCTCCACATGGTCATGATATCCATGTATCCTCATACCCCCCCTTTTTAGTCCCTTCCACTCCCTTCCATTCATTCATCTAAACAATCACAAATACCCCCCGGCCCCCTCCATACTCACATCACTCTGCGGCCCCAACCCGGCCCCTCCACGCACACTACTCCCCGCAGCCCCTCCTCTAGGACTGCGATCACTCAGCAGACTTTTAGTAGCCTCCAGACTCGCGCCGCCGGCATCCGACACGGGCGTGAGCATGCGACCGACCGATCGGCCCCTGCTGTTGGGACTGGTCATGTTGTTGTTATTGTTGGCGGCTGACACGGTGGAGATGGCACCGGGAGACCCGCGGCGGGCGACATGGGAGAATAGATCCCCGGCTAGGACCTGGGCCGGGGTGACGACAATCTCGTCTTCGCCGCGGCCGTGGTCGTCGCCCTTGCGGAGGACGAGGGGGAACAGGACGATGCGGACGGTGGCGTTGGTGGCTTCGAGGACCTCGTTGGATTGTTGTTGTGGGTCGGAAGCGCTGCGGTCCGAGGCCTCGTTCATGAGGGCCGCGTTGAAGGTGACGGTTTCGGTGAGCTCGCCGGCGTCGTCGTACTCGGGTTGTAAGGGTGGGAGCATCATGTACTCGGCGCGCTGGCAGCGCATGGCGATGGCGAGGGCGACGGCCTCGCGGATGACGCGGCGGAGCTGGGACTGGATCTGGTCCTCGAGGTGGGAAGGTGGGGGTAGGATCTTGCAGAGGGTGTCGAGGACGGCCTGGACGACGGCCTCGGTGTCTTGGTCGCGCTGTTTCTTGAAGGTGGGGCGGCGCGAGAGTAAGGTGAGGGTAACGGCGCGCCACTGGCGTACGGCGTGAGGCGGGCCGACATCGAGGAGCTGCTTCTCGAGGTGCTTGAGCTTCTGGCGCTGCTCGCGGTCCATGCCGAAGAGGTAGCGGGTAAACACAAATTCCCAGATCATGGTCATGGTCATGCTCATGAAGATGGCGCGGCGGCGCACGCGGTCGGCGAGGTAGGTATCGACGTTGGAGCCGTCGAGCACGGCGTTGTCGAGGCGGTCGATGAGCTTCTCGTCGCTGAGCTCCGAGGTCAGGCGGCACGCGCGCATGTCGCTGAACTTGGAGAAGCGCAGCACCCATTGCTTCACGTGGGCACACAGCTGCTGGCAGCGGTGGTCAAAGAAGTCAATGTCGTGGGCGTCCAAAAAGTCGGTCGGGTCGTCCCCGGCCTGGGCAAGGATCTGGGCCTGGAGCTCGCGGATCTGGGCGTCCGACGCGTCGAGCTGGGCGCGCAGGCGGGCGATCTCGGCGTCCTTCTCCTGAATGGAGCGGGCCGTTTGGGTAGTCTGAGCGGCATGGTCGGCCTCGAGACGGCGCAGCTCGTCGGTGTGTTTGAGGGCGATGGCCGAGGTTGAGCTGCGGAGCCCTTCATTGGTTTGTGTGAGGCGCTCGATGACGGCGTTGGCCTCGCGGACGGCGCGCTTGAGCGACTCGATCTCGGACTCGCGCTCGGCCAGGACGGTGGCAGTGCGGTGGGATTGAGACTGAGACGACTCGGAGTGGACATGGGCTTCGGCGAGCATGCGGTTCTCGGCTAGCAGCTGCTCGACGCGCGACTCGAGCTCGAGCACTTGCATGCTCTGACGGCGACGCATGCTGTGCGGGCGGGTCGGGGAACGGGGGGAGCCGATGCGGCCCTCGCCGTAGCCATCCTACAAGGGGCGGAGTTAGTAATTGACGACGAACGACGACAATTGCTGAGGGTGTCGATGTTGAATGGCTGAGGCGGTGTGTGTTTTGATCGAGTTCGAGCCCAATCCAGCCAGAGTGGGGCCGAAGAAAGCGGGAAGAAAATCAAAAGAAGAAGAGAAAAAAAGAACAAGACGAAAACGGGGAAAACAAATATAAAAATAGCAAGAGACACTTACATAGACGTCGGCCATGTCCTTGGCGCGGACACGGCCCTCATTCGCGACGGGGGTGGTGCTGTGCGCGGATCGCTGCGAAGCCGACGAGTTTGGTGGTTGTTGTTGGGAAGTCGAAGACAGCGGTGTCGCTGTTGCAAGTCTTGTTTGTGATTGCAGCGAGAGGGGAGCCCCCAGTAGGGCAGCTCCGCCGCCAATCGCAGCGGCGGCTGCAGCGGCTCCCGGGTGCTGCAGTTCTTGCTCGCGGGCCTTGGCGGCCAGGTCTCGCTGTCCGCTGCTGTAAGAGGCCGAGCGGAGGTCACCACTGGCCCGCTTGTCCATCCGGCGGAGCTGCAGCGAAGGCGATGGGGAAGGGGTGCTGCTGTTTCTGTTGCTGCCTGCACTGAACGAACGCAAACTCCCCGGCGTGTTTGGCCGTGCAGGCTCGGGGGTGTTGCGCAGACGGGCCAAACTGGTATTGGACGGCATCTGTCGGACTATTGCTGCAGCCCCCGCGAGGGCAGGTGCAGGTGCAGTTGCAGGTGGATTCCAGCTGTCGGCTGCGCTGGCAGAGGGCGTCGTGCCACTGGCAGGGACTGTCGCGGGTGGAGCACGCTGCTTGGGGACATGCAGCCCGCCTGTAGGCTTTTCTGGTTCAGGCGTGCGCAGGGGCGGTGAAGGCCCGTGTAGGCGTGGGGTGTCGGGGCCAATCGGGCCCCTGTGGGCGCTGAGCGGTGACCGCCGCAGCAGCCGGCCGCTGCTGGGTGTTTCTCTCCCAAATCCCTCATTTTCTGCAGGTTTTTTCGTCTCCCCCTTGTCTTCGGGAATTCTCGGCGGCGACGGCGACAACGACTGGCGGTGGTGTTCGAGATCTTGTTGTCGCACGGGGGTAAAAGGAAGATTTTTTCCTGGTCCTTCGACTGAATCGCGGAAGTGCACACCGCTGTCTCTCAGGGGTTCGTGTTGTGCGGGTGCCCGGCGATGCGGCGAACTGGAGGAGAACCCACTGTCTCGGTGCACATCGGGTGTCCGGACGGCTGTCGGCCGTCCAAGTGATCGGGGCCTGGCCGGTGGGCTCCCGGACTCCTCCTCGTCCGAGAGCTCCTCTTGCACGGGGGCCAGACTAGACTGCGACCGCATGAACTCGGAAAAATGGGACAACGTCGGGAGTCGGACCGCCTGGTCTGCCTCGGCTTCGCTGCTGTTGTCGTCGATGTCAATGTCCTTGTCTTGATTGTCATCGTCGTAGTCTCGATCATGTCCCCCAGAGTGGTGTTGAGTATTGTCCCTGGCGCTAAACACCTCCTCGTCCGCAATGTCGTCGGGGAACGAAAACGCCCGTTGGACCTCCGGCTCGGGCGATGGCGTCCGGCCCCGAGCCCGGCTTTGGCGTCCTCGTTTTCGTTCCGGCCCCGACGGCTCACTTGCATCAGCGGAGAGATCCCGGATTGACTTAGGGATCGTCTCCGAGTCCATGCGGCCCAGCCCGGGTACGCTGGCGGTGGCCTTCTCACTTCCCGTCTCTTCCTCGTCCAAACTCCGTTCCGTAGTCTCTGTTTGTTGCTCATCCGCTTCGGGTGTTGCCGGTGACTCCATATCGTGATCCTCAGCTCTCATCGTGTCGTGTTCGTCTTTGACGTCGTCGTCTTCTTTCAGTGCTTCCCCAGCTTCGGTGTCCATCTCGTCAACATCCAGACTCCGTTCCGTAGATGTTTCCTCCGGGGTCTCATCCATCTTCTCCTGCTCATCGGCTTCCTTGTTTGCCATGAACCTCTCCGCCAGCAGGGATGCACCACCAGTCAGTGCGCCTGCTATCGCAGCGAGTTCTGCGTTATCACGGTCGTCCACCGATTTGTCTTGTTCCTCCGACTCGTTCTCTTCCGTCGTGCGTTCCTCCTCCGACTCATTCATATCCATTGCGCGTTCTTCTGTCGTGTGTTCTTCCTTCATGTCCTCTTCCGTTTCTTGTTCTGTCACCTCGTCATCATCCTCCACGATACGTTCACTTGTCTTTTGCTCTTCCGGTTCCTCTCCCACGCCCGACTTGTCTTCATCCACGTCAATCTCCTTAGCTTTCTCGCCCGGAACGTCATCCTCATCCTCATCCTCATCACCAGCCAAGAAGTCCTCAACGTCCTCGACCGTAACAACTGGTACTTCTTCTTCCTCCTCCTCCTCTTCTTCATTTCCTTCCTCCACCTTCTCTTCCTCCATCTCCATCTCCTTCCTCTCACTCTCACTCTCCTCCCTCATCTGCAAAACCTCAGCCCCCCCACTCCCCGCCCTCTTCCGATGCGCATCATAATCAAACGACATCTCCCGCTCCATCGCCCGACTCCGACTGCGGCTCCGGCTACGACTGCGGATCTGCTCCGGCACGGTCATTCTGTTATTGTTATTGCCATCGTCCGTCGTCAGGATATCGCCTAAGCTAACGCCTAGAACACTCCTCGAGGGTGGTGGCCCTCCTCGTTCCTGACCGGTTGGGTTGATGTCTTCCTCCTCCATGAAGCCGGAGTGGGAGAACAGAGGTGGAGGGGATTGGAGGTCGGACAGGAGCTTGGGCGAGGGTGCGTCCTCGGGGTATGGCTCGGGCGGGTCGGGGATCAAGCCGAGGCCGATGGTTGGGAGGGTTGGTACTGGGGCTGGGATTGTCGACGAGAGTGTCGGTTCGAGAGTGGGCGAGCTGTGTTTGTCTTTGGGAGAAGCTTCAGGCACCACGAAGGGGATACCGGCCTGCTCTGTGGGAACGGGTGTCTCTGGTCGGTCAGGCATGGTTGCCTTATCCTCGACTTCAACCTCGACCGGGGGATCCTGAGCCGCGATATCTCTGCTCGCCTCGGCCTCTTGCTCGTCCTCAACTAATGCGATCGCACCATTGCGCTTCTTTTTCTTGTCCTTCCTGGCTTTCTTGCCCGTGCGCTCGACGACGGCCTCCTCTCTCAGGGCATCTTCTGTGGGAACGTCTTCAGAGGGAACGACGACCACAGCGGGAGCGTCAACGTCGTCCTGGTTGTCGAGGGGTTGGACGTTGCTGGGCGCGAACGCGGGCTCGGCTAACTCACGGGTTACCGGCTCCTCGAGCAAGACAGGTTCGAACGTGGATGTCTCAGATTGGATGGGCTCCGAAAGTGTAGGCAACTCCTCGGTATGCGCTGGCTCCGAATGGGCAGGCGTTTCTTCGACTTGAGCGAATCCCGGCACGACTGTCTCCTCGAATTGTGTTGTCTCCGGGACCGGGTCTGGTACATGACGTGCCTCGATCTCGCCAACTTCAGCTGGCTCAGACACCGAAGTAGACGCTTCAACTTGTGCAGGTTCCGACACAGCGGGCTCCTCTCTGGCAAGCACGGGAACCTCATCATCCTCGATCTTGAACGCCACCCTTTTCCCCTTCTTCTTGCCCTTCTTGGACTTTTTCACCGGTTCGCTTTGGACGGTGTCAAGTTCGGGCTCGGCTTGGGCTTGAACTTGAGGTTCGGGTGCTGGGAGTGAACGCGTTGGCGGCACCTCCGGGAGAGTCTCATGTTTGATGGCTTCTTGGTTCTCAGCAGGTAGGATGGTGGGTGCAGAGATGCTCTCCTCCCGGGGAATGTTGATCGTCTCGACTTGGGGCTCGGTCGGACGTTCAGGGACAGCCTTCTCGATAGTCTCAACGACCGGTTCCGTAACGGCCTCGGTCATTGGCTCAGGGATAACCTCGGCCGCGGTGTCAATTGTGGGTTCAGTCGTGGGGCCTTCAGAGGCGGTCTCATCGGTAGGCTCGTCGACGGTGGGTTGTGCAGGAAGGATCTCGAGACCTTGTTCGGCCGCTGGTTGGATGGCAATCTCAGGGAGAAGCTCAGTCTCAGGCTCTGGAACAGCTTCCACCGGAGCCTGGGAAGTGATGTCTCGAGAAACCGTAGTTTCTAGGTCACGAGCAATGGGCTCCTCAAACTCCTGGGTGGCTGGAGTCTCAGAAGCAGTGACCGGTGTTTCCTGCTCGACCTCAGCCTTAGGCTCAGGGGCAGTCTCAGGTTCCGCTTCAAGCTCAATTGCCTTGCCTTTGTCCTTTCCCTTCTTTTTCTTGTCCTTTTTGCTCTTCTTTGTCGGGACGTCTGCCACGGCGGGCTCGGGCTGTGGTTCAGAGGGAGGCTCAGGTTGGGATTCAAGCTGGGATTCGAACTGCGGCTGGGACTGAGGCTCCGCTGAGAGATCGAGCTCGAGGTCTTGCGGTCGAGGCTCAGACGTGATGGGAGTAATATCTTGAGCTGGGTCGTCGTTGTCGACGAGGCTGCGGTCTGTGGTAATGACAGGCTCCTCGACTGGCGGGACCTCTTTGGGAACGACAGTCTCTTCGATTGTGGCGGGTTCATCGGTCTTGACAGGTTCCTCGACCACACTGGGCTCGTCGTCGACAGCCGGCTCTTCGACAACAGGCTCCTCCTCGACGACCGGCTCCTCAGAGAGCACGGGTACCTCATCCTCAACCTCCTCAAGATCCTCCACCGGCTCCGGCACAACATCCCGGAACCTCGACACCCCCTCAGCCTCCGAATCACTCGACACGTCAATCTCCGACTCAGGCTCAGGCGAGACAGACCGATACCTGCCCTTTCTAATCCTACCCCCTTTGCTAAACTTGCCTGAGGCCACCCACAACTCCTCCTCGGTGGCTTCTTGCTCGGGTTTCGCGAAGGGGTCTGGGATGGTTTCTTCCTCTTGTTCTTGTCGTTCAGAAGGCCCCTCTTGGACCGGAGCGGGGACGGGGG